GGTAACATCTTCAGTGCTAGAATGGGATGGGGTTTGCTCTCTGTTTATATACTGCGGCATGTCCTGCCAGTGTTGGCGGGGGTGGGGGTTTCGTTTTGTTTTTTCCCTCTAGTAATTCCTTGACCAAGGTATTGTTCACTGCTTGATTGTGTGCCTGGTGGTAACCTCTGCCTATCTAGGTGATGATTGCTGGTGAGGAGATGTTCTGGTCTTTTTTCTTTTCTATTGTCTCTTTTGAATAGTGTGTAGATGCTGTTTATCTTTATGTGTCTGTTGATGGCTGCCTTGTCTGAATACCAAGTTTCCAAGAATTCCCTGGCATTTTAGTCAATAATCAAGGAACTACCAGAGGAACAAAACAACCCCCCCTCCCCCAACACTGGCAGGGCATGCCACAGCACATAAACAGAGAGCAAACCCCATCCCATTCTAGCAATGAGGATGTTACCTAGCTGGGTAACGAAACATTTGCAAGAAAAGAACCAGGCTCAGAGAACCCCAAGGACTCCACAATAACATAGAATATACAAAGTATCAAATAGAACAAAACATTTTTAAAAACAGCGGCAGTAAAGACTACACATTGGAAACAGGTTTCTGCATCTTTAAAACCAAACTGGTGTATCTAAGTCTTTAAGACCATTTAAAAATGGTCAGGGAGAGACACGCACACATCTTGTGGCAGGGAATTCCAGAGTGACAAGGATTTTTCCAGAACAGACCTACCTTTCCCTCACTTCCTCACACTTGCCACCTTTTATCTTTATCCTTTATGTTTTATTGTTTTGATTGTAATTTCTTTGTTTAATTGTTGTGAGCCACCAAAAGTCATTGAGAACTGGGCACCCTTCAAGTTGTTGTTGTCGTTATGCTTGCCTCTTGTATCCATTTACATTGAACTTACTGAAATTCCAGTTAACTGAGGAGTGGTATACAGTTTATACTGAAGTAGTTCATGAGGACTTGTTTATTTGCCTTTCTAATGATTGTCACATTTTATTGTAAATGTAAATAGCAGCGCCTTTTGCCTGTATGCAGCTGCTCTGACAGCTGTCTCTAAATGTAGCAACAAATATCAATCAGCCTCCTCCTCCCCCACTCAATTTATTGGGTTTATACAAGGCAAGATATTAAAAAAAACACTTGTGTGTCACCAAGCCACGGGCTGGGGAGGGGAATTTGCCAGTTGCTAATGGATACCTTGCATTTTTGTGTATGACCATGAAGAACAGCTTGTGCCCTTTCACCTCTGATGTTTCCAGAATAACATGGGTCTCATTTAGGTCAATACGCCTTTATCAAAACGTCAGGAGTGAAAAATGTGTCTTGGTGTAAGCTGACTGGTCCTTCTTTCCAATTGCAGGAGTTTATAGAACAATCAGTGTTCTCTAAGCTTGTCTGCATGTCATGCAAAGAACTGGATGACAGTAACCATTGACTGTATGTCTGTTTCATTGTCTTTAGGGCAGCCCACATTTGCATATTTGTCAGTGTTCCTGTTATCCAGCAAACCATGGAGGGTCTTTAAAAACTCACAGCTCTCATGCAAATTTTCTGTATGCTATTCCCCCATTCCACAAACCCACACATTGTGACTCTGAAGGCACCCATAATTTATCCCCTTGCTTCTTTCTATTTTCCTACTCTTCTTACAATATTAAATTCTAATTTGCATGTCAGGAGTTTTGGTTCACTATGCCTCACCATTCTCTCTTTCTCAGAATCTGTTAATCATAGTTGTCACATATGTTCTTATTTTGCAAAAAGGTTATTTTGCAGAATAACTAAACTATAATTTATGTGTAATCATTTTGATTTTATTTCATTTTAAAGAAATGACCAGATGGCATCTTTATTTGCATATTAGATGTTTTCATGCAGGTTAGTGTGGAACCTACATGTTTTATGAGTGCATATATAGTGGAAAGGGCCCAGGATAGTCAAACATTTTTTAAGCTAACAAATGAAATATAGTTGAAATCCTAATAGTGCTTCCAAGTAACTATATACAAGTTTATTCAGCAATTCATTTATTAATATTTTACTAAATAAAAACGTGAATGCAATGAAAGAAAAGAGAAGCTATTCTATTATATACATTACCCTATTAAAGTTGTGCTTGTTCTTTTTAGCCTCACTTCTACTAGAAGCTTTAGTTTTTACAAAGTTTTCCAATGAATTGAGCAACTGATATATAAAACTGTAGTTTCTTGTTGTTGCATTTGTAGGTATTTTTCTAATATGACTTAAAAATTTGAAATTTAGGGTACAATCCTAACTTAATTCCTAGATACTATTAAACTTGGTCAATTTTGGACTTTTCATGCATAAGATTAGCTTAACATAGAGGCCTTTTAATGTTTTTCAAACATATTTTATGTTTTTCAAGATATGATGATCAAATGTGACCATAGTTTTACTTTTTAATTGTGCTCTTGATTGTTGTTGAAGATTATCATTCCACAGCTAGTATTCTTTAGATGGGTTGGGACCACAGCTGTCTGAATTTCCAGTCAGGAGGAGCATCATATTGGTAGAGGGCTGTTGCAGATCTGTACAATTTATTTTCAGACTCCCAGATCTCATATTCCATTTTCTCCAAATATCATCTGAAAAACATTAAAAGCATATTAAATTAATCAGGCTCCCTGTCTGTTTCCTCTAGGAAATTGTATTAGTGGTATTTTTTGGAACTGAGTATGTGGTTCGATTGTGGTCTTCAGGATGCCGCAGTAAATATGTTGGTTTCTGGGGAAGGCTTCGTTTTGCTAGAAAGCCCATTTCTATCATTGGTGAGTATGTGTAGTTTTGTATAGTATGATTTCTTTTAAATTAGAAAACAGAAAATATTATGCCACATTATCTAAGAAGGGCTGATTACCTCTGTTTTGAATTACAGACTAATCACATGTATAGATTTTATGTCTGATCATGATAGAAAGCTGGAAGAAATATAAAAAGGGGAATTCCTTTAATGAAAGCTTGCTTGGGTCAGGGAGATGCTGAAGTTAGGAGCACTGGTTGTGGTCAATCAGTCAAGGAGAGTAGACACTGCATATATATAAAAAAGTGGTCCCAGTGGTAGGAGCACTTGGGGCCATGACTCCTAAGCTGGGAGAGTGGCTCCAACAGATCCCAGGAACAAAAACAGAGCTTTCTGTCCAGAAGA